CCAGATTACCCGACTGATTTTCGATTCCAGCGCTTCAGTGGCTAACGAATCCGCGGCCGCGTTGTATTCTCGTACAACGTGAAGATACTTAACTGATCGAAGCTTGGCCGTGAGTTCCTTGTGAGTATTCAGCAGCGCTAGCAAAGTTTCCTTCCTGCATGCGATCACCCCTAGTGATTGTTAAATCGCGAGCCTTGAGTCACCAACGATGACTAAATCCTCGGCACCGTGCGCAACAGCAGCCTTGACACCGTTGATCATACCTTTATACTCTGCCTCATTCACCGTGGTAGCCGAGAGGTAAGCGTTTGCAGCAATCACTACCTTCCACTCAGGAAGGCTCCACAGCACCCATAAACAACTCCCGTAGCCACCGTACATCTCTGTCTTCGCTGATCCGTCAAAAGACATGACGAATCCGCTGTATTACGGGAAAGCCTGGCGTACAGCAACGCGGGGTCCATTCGAATAGTCGGGGAACCCTTGTTTGGAGGTGCCACCGGCGTGAGCGAGTCCTCCAGGTCAACGAAGCTCGTGATGCTTGACTGCAGTAGCTGCGCGAAGGCGACATCCTTCTCCTTCACGCGCTGCATCTTCAGGTGCCACTGCGATAGCAGCACTGCGAACTGGACCGCGCGTCCGAAGAGAGACTTCGACTTATGCACCCACTCTAACGTCGAAAATCGTGTATAGACATGTAGCGTCTTTCCTGCCAGCTGGACGTAACATATCTTCAACAGCAGAAGTAAAGCCAAAACTTCCTTCTCAGCAGGATGGTAGTTCATCTCGGCCTCCTTGAGCACTCGACCGAGGAACCGTACGGGGTGTAGCTTGCCTTCATGTTCTTGCATTAGCGTAGTGCTCAACGCCCATTCATTCGCAAAGAGCATGGCGTGCGACCGATCGAAGTGCCTGAGGATGGGTGAATGTGAAACACTCGTCTTCAATTTTTCGAAGGAACGACGTGCTACAGAAAGGCCGCCTTCAACGGCAAAGTCTTAATCGTTGAGCTGGTACAGCGCCGCCCCGTAGACCGCGAAGTCTTGAATGAAGCGACTGTAGTAATTAACCGCTCCAAGAAACGACTGCATGCCCTTCTTACTCGTTGGAAACGAAAGCTCGGTGGTGGCCGCAAGCTTCTTGGGGTCAGCCCTGATGCCTTCTGGCGAAATTTTATGCGACAGAAAGTCCACCTTGGGTTGGCAGAAGATGCTCTTGGTGAAGCTAATGCTGATCCGACACTGTGCAAATCTTGCCAGCAATCGGTCCAGCGCCGCCAGGCAGCTGTCGAAATCCTCGCCACCGAAGCAAATATCATCCACAAACGACCGTCGACCAAACACAGGTACCAGCGATGATTAGTCCGGTTCCCCGTTCGTAAGCATGTCAGCGACGGGGCTGTTGACGAGTTGTAGTACGGGGTCGGTCTCTACCGGTGCTTCGCGGTCTGCCGCGAGCTTCGTTTGAACCGAACCCTCGGCGCTTGGCCCACGACGTTCCTTGGCCCTGTTGTCAGCTAAACACATCTTCTCCGAGTATTCAAACCAACCTCCTTAAGGTTGAGCGAACCCCCAGAGAGCGTTGTCGATCATACGCTGGTAGATCATCGGCGCGTTCTTTAATCCAAAGGGCATGCGCAACCACTCGAAGTGTCCGAGTGCGCAGACAAACGCCGATACTTTACGTGTTCGCAAGGTCATCATGACCGCCCAGAAGCCGCTTGCTGCATCCAGCGAGCAGAACCATAGGTAGCGCTCGAGATCTGCTAACAGGTCGTCGACTAGCGGCATTGCATACTCCATGATCGCGGTGATAGCATTCACCATCTTGTAATCAATGCAGAGCCGGATGTCCAGCCCGTTCTTTTTCATCACAATCACGATCGGCGATGCCCATGGACTGCTGAAAAGACGATCAGTCCTGCTCGCAACAGAGCGCGCAGCAGCTCGTACAGTTTGCCGAGAAATCGTAGCGGCACGCGCCGGGCACGCTGTTTAATTGGGGCGTGCCCCTGTGTGTCGATATCGCATACTGCGCCGTAGGCCGGCGGTGGTAGTGCGCTACCACTAGCAATCAGGATGTGCTCGTGGTTCTTTAGCGTTGCGACCAGACGTTCTCGGCGATCGGTCGACAACTGAGGATCAGCAACATTAGACGCAGTGTAGTCTATTGTCGTGTTGATATCTTCGGTAAGGTCCGGCAGGAATGCCAGCTCCTTCGCGTAGTCTTCCAAGCCAATGTTGTTAGCTGGGTGTTCGTAGAAGTCATTTCTCGTATCCTCCGTTGCTTCATTTCCTTCGGTCGTTAACACTCGAGCAACCGAGATGTACGTTCCGTCCAAAGTTGCTACAGATTCTTCCTTTGACTCAACACCGGTATTCGCTTTGATTTCAACAGTCGGTACTGGGTCCATCTCCTTCCCATCCTGGTTTCCCATCTCTAGGCCATCTGCCGAGTCGTCGCTCGCAATATTGAATGCGCGGGCCGCCGACATATTGGGTTGCTGACTTTTGTTCAGCTCCTCGTTCTGCCGCTGTCTTGACAGTTCGGCATTCGCACCAATCTTGCAATGAATACTCGGTGCCGTACTCAACACCTTCAACGCGATGCCTGCATCCTCTGGATCAACCACCGATGTCTCGTTCGCAGATTTGGTGACACACAAGACCGGGACAGCTTCGTCAAAACAGGTGACTCCATTTAATCCAGTGCTGCTACTTGTCGCTTCCGTGGTCACCCCTGACTGGACACAAACACTCGTTGGCGTATGTACAACGTTTACCGGCCTCAGTAGTTCGTATGTACGCGCTACCGAGGCTTCGTTTGCAATATTGCCTCCGCCATGGGTTGTCGTGTACGTGTCCAAAGGTTCTACGGAAGGCTGACCGTCGGCCGAATCCCCGGCTGTCACCCCAGACGCCAGACAGGCTTCCCCTTGTCTACGTTCCTCCAGGATCAGTGCCCAGCGCTCTGCACACGTCGATATTCGCATACTGCGCCGTAGGCTGGCGG